TACAGTGTTTTAACATAGATGTGTGTCCACAGTTTGTGTACACATCCAGCATTTATTAGGCAAATTCACCCACTCCTTTTTTTATAATCCTCATCAATCAGAAACAATATGGGAAAATATTGCAGATTCCCCCTACTGTGACATCACTTTATTTTATGTAGACACTTGTGGTGTTGTCAGCCTTTGCCATTTTATTATTTGGGGACACAAACACATTAACTTTATTATAACTGACTTTAATATTATGGGCTTTATTTAAAAAATCTAGGTACAAAGACTAAAGTGCATGGCGCAAAAGCATTAAGGGTGTGTCCGAATCAACTTCTATGTAAAATACACTCTGTGCCCAACGCATGGTCTAACAGGTTGTGCTTATTCTGTTAATGAGTTATGGCTGTGTTTTGAGCATAACCTGCATTAAACCAATCTCCCATTGCCTTTAAGAGTCAGTTGCAACACACCATGGCAGATTTGCTATTTACTTTGTAAGTTAATAAACTAAACACTTCACTAACAAGAAAACAGTTAAACAGATCATCTGCAGTGCAAGAATAAAGAACAAGTCTCCTTCATTCGGCCTCTTCACATTCTATTTATTTTACTTTTACTCTTTACTCCTTAACATTAATGCTCAAGGAAATAGTGTTTTGCACACTCCGCTGAAGATATCCATTAGCCTACATAAATAATTTAGTTTATTAAGCATAAAGATTTGTTTCAAAACTATTTCTAAATTCAGTTCTAACTTCCAGCACACAAATAAATGAACAATAATAACAAAGTTTGGTCAAAAAGTTATATCCAAACACAAGTCTTATTCTTATGTCCTATACGAGGATGAATTCATCTCCAAAACCTGACAGGTGAACAAATCTAAATTGTTTTTATTAAAACAAATATAAATATGAATATAATAAATAATAATAATAATAACCTTAAACAAATTTTCATGAATAAACTGAAAAAAAGACCCCCCGAGATGAGGCATGGAGGTAGTGGTTTTATATTTATGTTTTTATATTTATATTTAATAATTTTTATTACATTTGAATACTTAATTTTCATAATTAAAGATATTTGTGTGTTGCTGTACTTCTTGTGTGTATTAAGCAATGTGTACGCATTTGGACATTTGCATTTAATTAACTGTGTTGGACTTTAGACCAGCTTTTAGTTGGTCAATTTCAGTTCCTCAAATTAGCAACACACCGACAATGCGCCTTAACACACCTCCTTTATAGACCAGCATGCCCATAAGTCCACAAAGTAGCGCAAATGGATTTTCTATTTAAACTATGTGGCGCAAAACGTGAAAATTAATGTTGCACTGGTCTAAAAAAAGCAACAAATCTATTCAAACACATCTTGCACCTTATTATGCCAGGTGTATGATAGGCTACTGTAAGTTTCAAGATTTAAATCAATTAGACATGCTTTTTGATTACTAGTTTGAATAATTTAAAATTGAAAAAAAAATTAATTTGGAGGGGAAAAAAAGAACTTCAATTCCTTTAATGAATGTTCCTTTTTACACTAGATCAATGGTCTCAAATTCAATTCCTGGTGGGCCACAACTCCAACCACCTCCAACTTACACCTCCTTATAGTTTATAGTAGTCTTGGACACCTTGAATAATTGGATCAACTGTGCTTGATTAGGGTTGGAGCAAAACTGTGCAGTGTTGCGGCCCTCTAGTAATCGAGTATGAACATGACATGAAAACAAATACATATAAAATTTTATTACAAACATGTATGGAGAGTGCGTAGTTACAAAAAAAAAAAAGCCCAAAAACTATGTAAAAACCATGTAAAATGGCATTATTGCTTTAGCAAATTCATTTTTATTCATAGTATTTGACACTATTGGTTACACTGTAAAAGCGGTTTATTACTTTTCTTGAAACAATGAATAAACCTGTGGCCGACAAACTGACTTTACTTAAAGTGAAAAAAGAGCAAATTAGGTTCAACTTCATTTTATAACTATGCACATAGTTTATTTATTTAATAATAAAGACAATTTTAAGTTTACATTTAAGTCAACTAATCACTTTAAAAGCAACATTTTTACTTTTTGTTTTGTTTTATAAAGTCTACTACTCGCTTTTTACATTGTGGATTCATGATGTAATTTAGTAGTAAGTGATGCAAAATTTATAAATAGGATTATGCATTAAACTTTTTTTCTCCACTCACTTTTTATTTGATTTGAATGATTTAACATACCATATGAAAATGTTGCAACAATCATGTTTATCCCCTAGCCAAAATATATTCTGCAAGCGAATGTAACACATGGGGGCTCGTCCGGGATAGGGCTATTTTATAAGGAAGCTGGGCAAATTTTAACTCCACTCACTATACATTTTACTTTAAAACTGTAGAGAAACACGCAGTAATACCACCAAAAATATCACCACATTTCTTTTCATAAGCCTGTACTGGAGAGAAAATAGCAGCAGTGCTGGTGGTCCCACATCACAGTGTGAAAGAAGTCGCAAACTGCTGTCGCTGTCCAGGCATGTTTGACAGATATAATGAGCAGTCATTGAGCTGATATCAGCCCCTCAGCAGGGCAGGTGGACTAAAAATAGGACAGAAGGGGACATGTTAGAAATGCGACAGGGAATGTCCCTCTCCATACCCTGCCAGCAGAGCTCATCTTTAATTTTCCTGGTTCATTATGCATTTATGAATGATTTGGCACACCAGTACAGTCAATTCCATTACAGGAATTATCAGCGCTCGGGAAGAATCAGCCTACCGCGAAATAATTTAAGTAAACTTCCCTCTTTTTTTTTTCAAGGCCCACTATGTGCTCTGTCAGCTCCCTTGAGAGCACATGTCTATGTGCCTGTAAAATATTCAGTAATAGGCAGTTTGCGGCGGATGATTTTCATTTATTTTTCAATTTATTATTTATTATTATGCTTTTTTTCCCTCCAGCCCGAAATCAAGAGACAAACGCTGTGTGTATCAACAAACTATTACACAGTAAATAAGCGCAGAGGGAGAGGTTAACATTTATGTAGTTTTATGAGGATTGTCTCCGCAGCAGAAGATCTCTCTGCATCAGTGATATGCAGTTATTGTTCACCTCCAGCTTTTTCCTATTTAGAAGATTATCCATCATATGAATCATACCTGCATGCACTGTTCCTGTCTTCATACATGCTCATGCTCATTAATAATGTATGTTATGTAATGAAATTACTCGGCTTCACTGAAGTATGTTCCCTCACCCCAAAATGATCAGTTATTGTGCCTATTGTTGTTTCAAACCTGGATAAGCTTTATTTATTCTGTAGATCATAAATGAAATAATGTCTGTGGTAAATCCAACTTAGAAGCCTAAAAAAGAATGCAAGAATTGTAAAAAGTGACCATATTATATATGAGCTGGTTAAAAATCTATTTAAATATGTGACGATTCAAACTGATAAAAATGTTTAACGAATGTCGATACATTTTTTTGAAAAGAGGGGGCGCTGTATTTACAATTCACAAATTCGCTATCACAGCGGTAAAGTGTGCCAGATAAACACATAGGGCTCTATTTTGACTATCCATGTGCAAAGCACAGGGAGCAAAAGCATAAAGGGCGTGTCCGTATCCAATTTTACTATTTTTAAGGACGGAAAAATCCGCTTTGCACCGTGGCGTTTGATCTAACAGGGTTGAGATTATTCCAATGAGTTTTAAGTGTTTTTTGAGTATAAACAAATCAGAGTCTCATCTCCCATTCCTTTTAAGAGTCAGTTGTGTTCCGCCATGGTGCATTTACTATTTACTTGATGGACTTTGTACAGAGCATCTGCAGCGGGAGAATCCTCCTCATTCTTTACTTTCACTGTCACTCTCGTGGATAGGGAAACGTGTTGTACGCAGAGATCCATTAGCCTATACATAATTAATTTAGCTTGTTAACGCAAAGATTTATTTTAAAACTATTTCTAAATTCAGTCCTAATTTCCAGCAAACGAATAAATGAACAATAATAACAACGTGTGGTCAAACAACTGAGTTATAGCCTAATACACATGTTGTGCCCCATAGGGTCTTAAACCTGACAGGTGGGCAAATCTCAGCTTGTTTTTAATAAAACAAATATAAATATGCATATAATAAATACTACTAATAATAATAATAACATAATACAAAAGCAAATTGTCATAAATAAGCTAAAAAAACTAGATGAAGAAGGCATGGTATGGCAGGTTTTTATATTTATGTAGACTAAAAAATAATAATTTTTGTAACATTTTAAACCTTTAATTATTTTTCTTTTGTAAAGGTATTTGCGTTTTGCTCTACATCCTGTGTGTATTAAGCAATGTTTAAGCGAGGCGCACAACTAAGCTGTAATCATGTAGTCTATTAAAAGGTTACTGTAATCTGATTGTGTTAATTTCAAAATGCAATCTAGTCTAATTATGAGTACTAAAGTGATTCATTCTTCTGTGGCGACCCTAGATAAAGATGGGAATGAATATAAGAAGAATGATTGAGTATTACAGTTTCTAATCTAATTATGTAATCTAGATTAATTGTAATCATGTATTACCAAGCACTGGAAATATGACAAAAAGTTGTTTTTTTATCACCAAAATAGCATTGTAGAATGATTTCTGAATGATTACATGTAAAAAAAATGAACTCTTGATCAATGGCTGTAGACATAAGAATCAGTACTAATTCATGATTAAAATCAATCTAAAGAAATTAAGTACAAAACTATTGTAACTTCTCTCAATACCAAGGAAAAATGTGGCTGATGTCAAGATTTTTATATAACTTTTTTATGTGTCACTTTCATTATATTGGTCATTTTTGTTTTTGACTGACAAAAAGAAACATTTATGCAGGTTTGTAAGAACATAAGGGTGAACAAATTGACTTTTGGGTGAACCGATTCTTAAAAATAGTATAAAGAGAAGCAGCCAAACATAGATGTGAAAGGCTCTTCTAATGCACCTCTCTTTTTTTCTCTCCTCCAGCGGTAAAATCATTGTAGATGACAAAAGTAAAGCGCCGGAGACGGAGGTAAAGAAACCCCCGGCGGAGGTGAAGACAGTCCCCAATGAAGCCCCGCAGGCGAACGGCAACGAGAGCAAAGCATGATGGGAAATCAGCACGACAGTCGCAGACAGACAGCACCACACCACCACCACTTCTCAGATACAAGGCTTTCTTTTTTCAGTGTCTTCTTTGAGTTTCGCAGAACAAAACACATCTGTAGATGTATAGAGCACCTAAAGAGCTCGCACACTTGCCTTTGATTTTGTACTTTTCATTTGTTATCACTATTGAAATGTCGTTTCTTTCAAAAAACGCAAGAAGGAAAGATTCTTCACCTCTAGCACAGTCTCCTTGACCTCTGTGAGTAAGACCAGCATCTTTCAAGTACACTCAGTTTTTGTTTTTTTGAGGAAGAGAAATTTTGCTTTTACACATTCAGCCCAGCGAGATGTTTCAGTTAAGTCCCGTCTTATAACATGCAGTATTGCCATCATTATTGTCTGCCACATTCTTATTCTTTTGGGAACATTTTTAATGTTTTACTTGTGTTTAAATAATGTACAAAAACAACCGCCTTTTTATTTTATTTTTTTCACATGATTTTAGCGCTAGATTTTTAGCACGCTTGCTTTGCAGAATGATTCCAGCCCTGAGTATTCACAGCATTTTACTTTGATAAAACCTGCTGTTTGCTTCACAGAAGATTACACAAACTAAAGGTCTGAACTAGTGGTTAGGTTTGAAATAAAAATCGCCACTTTATTTTCTGTTTTACACATACTTTCATTTTACAACACATGCCGTTTTCTCTGAGCCTCAGGGTTCCTTCCATTTAGTTTTGGTTTTTAGAGCAGGATTGAGAGTCAAATAGGTCTCCCACAGTGATCTTTGCTTAAAAACGTCCCGCAAGTCCTTTAAAAAAACATTAGGAACAACTCGGAGCTCTTAGATATGGATCGAATGGCTCCTTGAGAGGATTCCGTACAAGAATTGCTGTGTTACTCGGAGAAACAGCTGTTGCATTCGTGGATTTACGAAAACATGAGGTGTTCATAATGCTTGCGGGAAGTCCCTTAAGATGTCTGACTGGTGCTCCGTTGTTTTAAAGGGTTAGTTTAACTTGAAATGAAAATTCTGTTATTGATTTATCCTCACGTCAGTCCAAACCTGTCTGTTCACCCAAATATCTGATGCTTCAAAATAAATGAAGAGATCAGTTTGTTTGTTATTTGAGCAGTTTGAAGTGTCAGAGTTTTAGGTTAACAGTCTTTCAATGGACGGACAAGCATCTCTGATTTGAGATGGAGATGAACAAAAATACAATGCAATTTAGTGGCTAATTTGTATTAGTTTGTATGATCATTTTAGCACCAATTGCTCATCCTTTAATGAGAGTTAGGGCTGGGGTTTGGGTGCATACTTCTTTGTTAAAATCGTACGTTTTTATATGAATGAAATCATTTGCATTTTTACAAATTAGTCACTTTTCTGAGAATATGTATAAATATGTTTTGAATATGAATATGTATGAAAATTTGTTTTGGGTTGCAAGCCCTTACAGTGCACAGGTGACAAACTCAGTTCTGGAGAGCCACATCTCTCCACAGTTTAGTTTTAACCCTAATTCAAGATTTCACACTTAGCTGATGATTGGTAATAAGCTTGTTTGGCATGCTGTCCCGGGAGAGAGCCCTGAGCTTATAAGATCCTCGAGCTCTGGGCTCCCTCCTGTTAGCAGGGCGAGAGGGGAGTTTGAGCTCAGGTAGATCTCGATGAACACCCCCGACTTATTTTTGGCTAATGGCTGTTATATAATGTCTGAGGAGAGATATACGGCTTACTAAGTTCTTGACTATAATGCCATTTTGGTATGTTCAACTTACTTAGGTTGTGTTTTTTGTACTGTGTGGGGAAGCCCGAGGAAAACCCAGGCGAGCACGGGGAAAACGGGCAAACACAGAAATGTCAGCTGGTTTAGTAGAGACTTTAACCAGAGACATTCTAGCTGTGAGGCAACAGTGCTAATCACTGGGCCGCCGTGTCGACCATCTAGAAAGGAGGGGGAGTAGGGGTGGGTGGAAACATGTAAGTTTTGCAGTTCGCTGCTTTGCAAAGTTCAAACTTGGTAACCTCTGCAAAATTACTTGACTGTGTGAGACAAATCGAGGATCAAAACATGACCTCTCTAGACAGAAATTTTAAATATGGACCAATCGCTCGCTTTTTAAATGTCTAATCATCTTATTTAATCCCGTCACTTTTTGCAGCGCCATACTACAGAATTTCGCATGCTCAAACTATAGTGTAACCGCAGCTTAATTAAGTTCTTCAGGCTTGCTTTAAACCTCCAGGTAAGTGTATTGAAGTAGGGTTGGAACTAAACTGTGCAGGGCTGCGGCCCTCAAAGAAATGAGTTTGATACCCCTGCCTTACGGGTTTGGGCATGACTTATGGATAAAACATTACAGAATAGTCTTTTTAATTTGCAACCTAACCATTAATTGGTAACTTCATTATTAATTGATAAACGTGACGTCAGAATGAAGTCGTACCCCTTCGATGGTAATAAAAAATGTTAATGTTTGTTGCTTTTTCTCAAATGTCTTAAATGGCCAAATTATTTCCGTTTTATTTAAGCCATAGTACTCCGGTGTGGATCGTAGCATAAAGAATATTCAGCCTGACTTTTGTTTTGTTTTTTGTACAGTGTTTCTCATTCTTTAGGCTGCAAGCTTGTGCACTGTGAATGCGTGAAAATTCCTAGTGTGAATACAGTGTGTTCTTTGTACTAGAAAAAAAATAAAGAAATAAAAAGTTTCCATAGGTTGTGAAAGCTGTAGCTGTTAGTTCAAATGATGTTCATCACGATAAGAAAAGAAAAACATTTTGAAAATACAAACAAAAATAAATAAATTAAACACAAACAAACATTGACTGCAGCAGAAGTCAAATACGGACACAAAAGGAGTTGGTGCCTTCAATATTAAACATCCTCTCGTATGCAGGCCTGGATGGGCCGCTACTCTCTCTGTGGCAACTTGGTCCAGATCTGTAAACTGTGAAAATAGTAAAAATAATACGTTTAGTTTTATGCTCAAACGTGTCGTCACTTGGTCTGAGGATGTAAATGGATCGTGGTTTTCTTAAAAACTTGAGTTCTCAAAATCTCGACAACATGCCTCTATTTAACTGATGCAAAATAAGACATGTATGTATATACATATATAAATATATTCACATACAAAACTGTCTCGATGCATTTCGTCTCATAGGCACCATCGAATTACAAAAATCTTTCCGTTCATTCCATTTGCCTTGTCATTTATTTTTAAACCTGAAATATGCATGTGATGTATTCTGAACTAGATGTCATCGGTGTTAAGGTTACGAATTGAATTGCTAAGTAACTGAAAATGTCAAAGGCTTTACCTGTTGTATCTGAATGTCAGTGAACTCATCATTTTGTATGTTCACTGTTTTTGCTTTCACTACTAGACGAACATGAAGTGCTTTTGTGGAGCTGGACGACATCACTTTTTAATAACTTTCATTGTTAAAGCTTAAAACAGATCTATAGCTCATGAACAAATATAATAATATATAGTTTCATGAACTATTTGAATGTAAACTTGTGTTCTGTTATAGGGATTGTTCATCAAAAAAAAGAACATATACTCACCCTGGAGTGTTTCCAAACATTTATGAGCTCTTTTTGTGTTGAGAATTTTGAAAACCAGTAGCAATTGATTTCCATATAAGGAAAACACATTTGGAAGTCAATGGTTACTGATTTCAAACATTCTTCAATATATGATGACTGAATGTTCATTTTTTGGTGAACTATCCCTTTAAGCATGTGTAATGTAATGATATTATTAACAATGAAAGTTATTACAAAACGTTTCCAGCTGAATTCAGGTCTAATAAACAAACAAGTTGTTTCTCTCCGTTTCATACTGCCATTTAATGTGGGACCAATTTGTTTACACAGTTTACCGCCGCAGTCGTACCATCAAGCCACTTTAAAGACAAAAAAGTCTGTTCCCAGATTCATTTAAAGCTCATCGTCTGACTAGATTACACTTGTTTGATGTGGAAAAGGTTTCTCTCATCATCTCTCTCATGTCAGACCTTTATACGACATCCATTTCTTCATCCCCTACTGAGAGGCCCTTCTCCCAGCTGACTGTATCCAGATTTCTACACTTCCAGCTCTCCCTCCCACTGCCACTGCTGTAAATACTAACCGACAACAAAATCTGACTTCATTCTGTCAAAATTCTTGTGTTCAATAAAAGGAGAAAAAAATAATAATCGTCTGTCTCCACTCTTTTCTTTTGCATGCACATCTGTTTCAGGCAGATTTTTATCCATTAAGAAGCAACTTAAAATACAGTATTAAAACTTAAAGGGATATTTCCATCCCAAAACATAAACATTAAATCAATTTATTCACACTTGTGTGGTTTAAACTTTCACTGAGTTTATTTTATTTTCTGTCAAACACTAAATAAGATACAGTTGAAGTCAGAATTATTAGCCCCCTTTGATATCTTTTTTTAATATTTCCCAAATGTTGTTTAACAGAGCAAGGACATTTTCACAGTACATCTGATAATATTTTTCTTTGCAGAAAGTCTTATTTGTTTTATTTTGGCTAGAATAAAAGATGTGTTTAATTTAAAAAATGCATTTTAAGGTCAAAATTATTAGCCCCTTTAAGCTATTTTTTCCGATGATCTACAGAACCATTGTTATACAATAACTTGCCTAATTATTCTAACCTGCCTATAGTTAACCTAGTTAAGCCTTTAAATGTCACTTTAAGCTGTATAGAAATGTCATAAAATATCTTCAAATATTGTTTACTGTTATCATGGCAAGATAAAATAAATCAGTTATTAGAGATGAGTTTATTTTTTAGAATTCTATTATTTTTAGAAATGTGTCGAAAAAAATCTTGTCTCCATTAAACAGAAATTGAGGAAAAAAATAAACAGGATGTTTAATAATTCAGGGGGGCTAATAATTCTGACTTCAACTGTACGTTGAAGAAAGCTGAAAACCTGTAACCATTGACTTTCATTGGAAAAATAAATACATGGAAGTCAATGGTTACCCGTTTCCAGCATTCTTCAAAAGATCTGTCTGTCTGTGTGTGTGTGTGTGTGTGTGTGTGTGTGTGTGTGTGTGTGTGTGTGTGTGTGTGTGTGTGTGTGTGTGTGTGTGTGTGCGCGCCTGCGTGCGTGCGTGTGTGTGTGTGTGTTTTTGTGACATATCAGGACACAAATCTGTATAATGACATAGGTATGACACAGGTATTACAAAAAGTAGGTGAAATATGAGGACATAGGTGACATCCTCATTTCTTAAAAAGCTTATAAATCACACAGGATGCGTTTAATCAGAGAGTAAAGCTGCACACAGTCTCCTTTGGACAGTATAAAATGAATGGAAACCTATGTAATGTCCCCACTTTTCACAAAAACAAATGTGTGTGTGTGTGTGTGTGTGTGTGTGTGTGTGTGTGTGTGTGTGTGTGTGTGTGTGTGTGTGTGTGTGTGTGTGTGTGTGTGTGTGTGTGTGTGTGTGTGTGTGTGTGTGAGTATGTGTGTGAGTATGTGTGTGTGTGTGTGTGTGTGTGTGTGTGTGTGTGTGTGTGTGTGTGTGTGTGTTCAACAGAAGAAAATGGGTTTGGAGCCAGTGAACTATCCCTTTAAGCCATGGATCATTGTTATTTTGGAATTTCTATCACTTATGGTGGTGTAAGTTATTTAAATTGGCTTTTGTTTGTTTTTTAGAAAATGTTGTGGTTTTGTCTTTTTTTATTTCTCTCTTTTAGTCTCGTATTTAGTTATTTAAACTTTAATTTGTTTGATTAAAGTGATTTGAATAAGTTTTAGTTAGTTGTTGAGCAATACCAACACTGTCACATTGCAGCTGAAAACCTGTAACTATTGACTTCCATAGGAAAAACAAATGCAATGGAAGTCAATGGTTACTTGTTTTCAGCTTTTTTTTAAAAGATCTTTGTGTGTGAATTCAACAGAAGAAAGAAACTCAAATGGGTTTTAACAAGTGAACTATCCTTTTAAGCCATGGATCAGTGTTATCAAAATTTATAATGCTTACTATGGTGGTGTATATCTTAAAAAAATGTGGTTTTGTAATTTTTATTCGTTTTTTCTTTAATAAAGCTTTTATTCTTATATTTAGTTATTTAAGCTTTAATTTGGTTCATCAAAGTGAGTTTAGAGTTTGATTTGATTACTGAGCAATAACAACCCTGTCGTGTACAAATATGAGTTCGATAGGGCCCAATAATTCGATTCAATAAAGGATTTTATAGTTTTTACATTTGTACTTTTTTACTGTGCTGTTAATATCTGACTTGTTGTGATTATATACCCAACCAAACACACATAATGTAAAACATAATATAGGCCTGTATTGCAGTTTGAACTATGCAGCTATAATCGTAGTTCAGTGTTTCTTGGCATGTCATTCATTGCATTAGTTTCCATTTCCTGCAATTACTTAGGAAATTTACGAGCAATTCCTTAGTGAAAATAGTTTCCACAACATTTTTTTCCTCAGCGTTGGTCTTCTCGTTTCTGCGTTCATATGACCATATGTGTTTGGCCTTAAGAAAGAACGTATGAAATATTAATTTTACAATATTCAGACCACCAGAAAATAAGCTCTAATATAGGTTATGAATATTTTAAGTGGTGTTGCAATTCTCTTCTTCGCAGTGAAACACAAATAAAGACGTGCTGCGGATGAGCACCATCACCAGCAGAGGGCGAACAACACCACAACACATGTAGGCTAGTAGTGCTTGACTAGAAGCAATGGAAGATGCATTTTACGTCACTTATTATTTTGGCGTGATAACAGGCTTAATTGTGTTGTCTCTAAATATATAGTCAAATCTGCCAATGTTTTATAATTTAATACGGATAATTTCTGTCAAGATGGTCTGAGATAATGGGGTGATATCTGTTAATTTGGGGTTTTCTGGTTATTTAGTAACGGTATGAAACGTAAATGTGTAATGAGGTACAAACACCACTCTTTATGTAGGTCGTATGGTCTAGTCTAGTCTAGTCTAGTCTAGAATTAAGCAGCTGCATATGCGCTTTATTATCCACCGGGTGGCGCTAAAGCAGCGCTCGAGTGTAAATAATAACGTGTTTCTGGCAGCACATGCTCGCCTAATTAAAACCATATAAAGGCAGTGTTTTGACACATTTTTTTGTGTATGTTTACCATATTCAAGCGACTGGTCTGTTTCAACTCGGAGCCAGCGAAAGGAACTGGATGTAACGGGAGTTTCCTCTGCGGGTAATCCAGAAATCTCATTCAGGTGCTTCTAATTCACAATGGCTTTGATTCGTGGCCTGTTTATGTAACAGACGAATGTTGGAGAAGAAATGTTAGGAGTCAAAATGGTTTGTCAGACTTTAAGCTTTTCAAACTATGTGATGCATTGCACTTTATATGTCATTTACAACAATAACTTTCACTTTTTATCAGCCGATTTTAGCACATGTATCTTTACAGAGCTCTTCTGTGATTTACGTGTTCTTGAAAAACTGGTGATAAACAGAAGAGCTGGAGAAAACAGTGGAAAAACTGTAGATTTGATCAACACTTCAGATGAGTCATTCAAAAAATATGACGACAAACACGTCTCTTAACTTGTCAGTTCTTTTAAATATTCAAGGGTCTTTATATCAAAGGCAGGGCTTTATAGCCTGTGGTTTTCTTTAAGTTTAATTGAATGTTTCATCAGGGTTATTATTGTTAACAAACTATTTATGTTACTTGAAATATTCAACTGCCAAAGCAACATTACTTATTTCATTCAGTTTAAACTGACATACTTCAAAACCTAAAAGTGAAGTTGAAATGAATTAAAAAAAATATTTTTTTTAAAAGTGATATAAATGAAATAATTAGAAAAACATCAAATAATACAAATTGGAAATTTAAAAAAAAAAATGGTTCTACTTGTGTATTGAAAAACATGTTTTTTTTTTTGTTTTTTGCCATTTTAGTCCATGTCTATTTTTGTTCAATAATTTACATTTATTTTTATTTTTAAAATTTACAAAATCATTTATGCAGTAGACGTGTTTATATGTAATTTTTACAACTTTTAGAGCATAAAATAATCTTGAATACTTCTGAGAAAAGGACTATAACACAAAATATTTGATTGTAGTAAAAAGTGAAATAAAAAAAATCTGATATGAAAAGGTTGTAAAATGTAATTATTGCACATAAATACTATATATATATATATATATATATATATATATATATATATATATATATATATATATATATATATATATATTAGGGGTGTCAAAATTAATTGTTTCTTCGGTGCACCGCGATGCAGAAGCAGACAATTCGGTATCGATTCAGTAATAACCATAACCGGTTATTATGTAGTGACGTCATTTATCTCCTATGCGCTCTGTCGCGAGGGAGGTGAGCGCCGGTATTTACAACACTCAGCCAACTCAGGGCCGGCCCGTGGCATAGGCACCATAGGCAAATGCTTAGGGCGCTGTATATCCAGTGGGGCGCCAGAAATGAGCGCGCTTCAGTTGGTTTTGTTTTCGATTTTCCTGACACACATTCAGTTATTAGCCCCTTTCACACAGTGATACCGGAAAATTTACGGAACGACTTTACCGGTATGTTCAAAAAAGCGCTGTTCACACAGGCGAGGACGTTACGGAAATTTTCCGGAAAAGAGCATTCACACATCCATTCCAAAATACCGGTAAATTCTGACATCATTCACCACAAATGAGCTTTAAACGGCTGCGCTTGTATTTGTAAACATTTGACTAAATTACAAACTCTTTTGATGATCAATATTGTAAACAACTTTCACAGGATCATATTCGCATGTCGAGATGTTCATAATATGTGCGTGTGCTGCCGCTCACAGGCTGTTTCATGGGCACACGCAAAGCTTGAAGGTAAACAAACAACGGCTTATCATAAGCATTTTATCGATGATTATTTGCACAGTTGGCATTAAGGAGAACATATAAACGTTATCTGACTAACTTCTAGCAGCTAAATGCGTCTGGAAAAATATTCAAAGGCTTTTATTCTCACAAACCGCGCGGACGTAAATGCGTCTGACTGTTGTGATTGGCTAAAGCAGAAGTCTTACGTCAGCACGTTCTAGACGTGCACGCGCTTATTCCGGAAATATTCCTTCTGCGTTCACACAGCGCAGCATTCCGGCAAATTGCCGGTAATGTTACAACTTCTCTTTCCGGAAA